ATGCGGCATTAACATTTTAATGGATTTACCCCAGGTTGTTGAGATGAACAATTCATATCCCCTCTTTCCATGTGTCACTGTCATGCATCCTCCGCTAGAAATCACATGTTTTAACATAAAATAAACAATATAGACTGTCTGCATGAGGTCCATATAGTTTCCACTGTAGCCTCTAGAGGAAATGTTGCCTTACCGAAATTACAGTTCTGTCCTTCATAGGCATCTGTGCAGGTGCAGGTGTAGTTGCGAATGCTGTCCTGACACACACCATTGTGCTGGCATGGGTTTGAGGAGCACTGTCTGCCACCTGAATGAACGTCGCATCAGTAAGAGCAATCGGAGTCACCAACAGGGACACACGCCTATTAATGACAGAGCTTTCTTCCCAGCATGGAATCTTTTACCAGCACAGCTGTTGGTCAGTCACAAATCACATTTCCTCACACCTCTGACCAACCCAGGAATGCCAGCAAAAGTTTGTAGTGTAGATCTGGTCTAAGACCCTTGCTCTGGGAATGCCCTGCCTGTGTGTGTCTGAAGCGGGTGGGGAGGGTGCATGCAGGACTGGCCCAACTACCCACCCATGCAGATATATCCTGGGTGCTGTGCTGAGTACTGCCGGCACCCTCTTGCTGCCATCCCTACATCTTGGGAAGTGGGGGGAGGTGGACCCCTACTACAACCCTGGCTCTTCTAGAGAGAAAAAGGGCTCTTGCTGTTGCTCCTGGGGGAAAGAAGAGGCCCCTTAACACTGCCATTCCAAGGCAAGGAACAAGGTAATGGTATAGGATGGTGCTGGGTGAGTGGAGCCACACCAGGCTCCATGTTGTGGAGTGCCCAGAGCCCCAGTTTAACTTAGTCCAGCTTGCATAGGGAAAACAATAAAAGAAACAGCCTATTTAATGTCATTGCATCTAGCCAAATATTCTAACACTATTTTTTTGATTTACAGCCTTGACTGTTAACTATTTCTCAGATGGCTTGCTTTTAATGACTCCACTCCTGCTCTTTTTTTGTGTATCTCTTCTCCCCTCACTTCACCAGATGCTTGATAAACAGTAGTAGGATACTTAAAATAAAGTGCAAATTGAATAAACTACTTGAGAGTCTTTTAAATTCCATAATCCTAACTGTAATGATCACTTCATAAAATCATTTTAGAAAAAGAGATTGAACAGTCAACTTACCGAAATAGCGAGCCCAAAACTTGTTCTGAAAAAATTAAAAAGAAATCTTGTTACATCTCTTGGCTAATACCTTTTCCCACAAATACTTTGTCACAACAAAAAATGTGCAAGAGAACAAATCTTATAGTCTATGCTTAAAAGTTAAACAGTCATACAAACTTTGGTCCTGGTCCTACCCTCTTTACTCAGGCAAACTTCCCACTGAACGCAATCAGACTTTTCCTTGAGTCAGGAGTACAGGATCAGAACCTATTGCTTTATTTCAAAATAAATATTTCTTACGAAAAAATGTTAGGAAGGGAAGAAGAAATACGTGTGGCATGTAAGAAACATCTGGACAATGATGTGACAATGTATCAATTACAATACCTAACCCCATTGTCCCCAAGTCTGGCAGTGATCACCACTTGAAATCCTCCCCCACCAACACCATCAGCTTAGGAAGGGAGCCCCAAGCTCTGTCACCTGGGCCCCAAATGGCAGACAGTTGAGAAGTGTGTGATTGGTTGTATATTGTACCATCAGTGACAGATGTTAATTTTTTTAAATATAAAATCTGTTTTAAAGGATGTGTGAAAGAGCGGAGTTCCTCCAGGGTGTGTGTGTATTTTTGTACATTTCAGGCTGAGTTTCCTGAAGTGCAGGCATAAACCATCCTAACATTTCAAGCATCAGAACAGATGAAAAAGAAATATAATTTAAAAAACATCTCATGATTGATTTATTTGGTCCCTCTCATGATGTTTGCTCTCCCAGAACTGGCAATACTGATCGTGCTGGTTAATTGGAGAGACGACTAGGACTCTAGTCTAGTGACGACTAGTGGCTTTGGACCACTCCCCTTAACGTTAACGGAGTTGGAGCAAGCATTAAAATACAAGGATGCCAAGTGTCACACCCATAGGTGTTGGAACGAGAGGCACTGGGGGTGCTAATGCACCCCCCTGGCTTGAAGTGGCTTCCATTCTATACAGGGTTTACAGTTTGGTTCACTGGCTGTCAGCACCCCCACCACATGCATTGTTCCTGCCCCCTGGTCACACGTCTCACACCATCCGGTCACTCAGGCCTGCATCTGGTCCCTTGGTCCCACTGGAATCTCACAGCAGGCAGCGGACTTTTCCTGGCCACTGGTGTGTGCTGTGACGCCTGCTGAGCAAGCCTCTTTCCTGCTGCTTCCCCTGCTGGATCCCAGCCAAGAAAGATGCAGCTGGGAGCAGAGGGGGGTGGGTGTGTGTGTGTAACACTGCTCTTGGATTCACCCCCCAACACACACGCCAGCGGCACCAGCCTCTCAACATCACCAACCCCTCCCAAACTCCCCCTGAAGCCCCACTACCCATATTGCTGGCCTTGGCACCCCCCTCCCCCAGCTGCTTCCCTCACTCTCGCTGCAGATAGGGCCCCTGGCAAGGTTCCCTTAAAATGCACCCCATGCACTGCAGGGAGGTAGCGCGCTACACAATGCTGTACTCGGAGGCATCTGCCCGCTGGTCAGGACAGGGGGCCTCCCCTCGGAGCTGCTGCTGATTGGCCCTACCAGGGAGTCACCGCCTCTTTCTTGGCCCCTTCTCCCATCATCAATCCCTTATTGGAACACTGTAGCAAACAAAGTGTTGCGGTGCAATGGAAGATTGATCTCACATTGCAGAGAAATCTAGGCAATACTGTTAGGTCGCAAAGAATCAACCATTGCTGCAGCGTAGACAGGGTCTGATCGGCGAAGAAGCAGCAAGTGTTGCAATTCTTAGAAAAACAAACAATAAAAAAATACCTACAGTCTCTTCATTGTCTTCAAATACTTCTCGTGCCTCTTCATATGTGCATCTTTCTTCTAGGCACTCTCTTTCCAAATTGCCTTGAAAGAACTCCTCAATAATTAGGAAAGACCCACGCTTATGTCTTGAGATAACTTGATTCGCATTGTTGGCTGATAGAAAGACTGAAAAGTTGGATAACAAGAGGCACTAATGTAAATATATGGACGTTTTTGTTATCTACTTCTGTCTCTTCTTAAAATAGGTCAGGAAGCAGGCAGTTTTTAATATGAAGAGAAATATGAAGGAATTGCATCAACGTTGACGTTGCATAAGTGCATATACTGCACCAGCACTCCTTTCTTAGCCCAGATTGGGCTGGGAAATCATGGAATTTTGTCCCAGTGCTTAATTTGTAATGAAAGAGGTGCAATTTTTTTACTTTCGTAACTGATGCAGCAAGCCCAGAGGTGCCAGGGCTCTGAACTGCCAAGCCTAGAGGTGCCGGGGCTCAGCCTTGGAAAGCTCTGACACAAATTAAGTTTTGTCTTTATTTTCCATTGGGAAGTGCAGGATTTGAACCCTGTAGAATAGGAAGTTAGTTCAACCTTGCCAATCCCCAGATCTCAGGGAGTCCACCAGAGGCAGGGCCATCCACATGGCAGTCCTGTATTCCTACCCTGCCTCCATTGCCCCTGGCTCTGTCCTGGATTTCCATGACAATCTGGTTCAGATGGAGTCATGATACCAGGGTCTCTGTAACAAGCACACTTATCCAGAACCCTCTTCTTCAACTGGAGTTCTGCAATACAGACAGGTTGCATAGTAAAGTGAGTGCTGACTCCATATTTAATTGCCGGCAGAATTCTTCTTGGAGGGAGAATTAGGCAAGTCCATCTAACAACCTCTTCTCTCACCCTGGCTTCATGCCACCCCTCCAAAACAAATTCACAAAACGTGTGGAAGGGGCTTCTACAGGGCAAGGAAGGGAGGAGAAATGTTACCATAAAGGCAACACTCCCCACTTTATAGCCATTGGGAGAGGATATATGGGGTTTTTAAATCCTTCTGCAAAGATGGAGGGAACGATTTGTGCCTCAGTTGTTATTTAAGGGCCCAATCCTCCACTCCTTACTCAGACTGACTCCACCAACAGTCTTGGCTGAATAAAGATAGCCAAATTTGGTTTTTAATTTACGTGTTTAGGGAAAGCAAATATAATGTACAATGGCCAGAAAAAAAGACCAGTTCCTTGGGTGGCGGAGGCTAGAACCATTTGGATCTGATGAGGGATCAAGGAATTGGGGGCCATGATACTTAGTAAAGGAACAATATTGTGAAATTGTATGTAATTTCTTAGTTAAACCTTTAAAAAAAAACAAGTGACCAGACTAATTCTAGCACTGTTTACGCTGTTTTAAAAAAATCAGTTCCATGATTAAAAAAAAAAAAAAGCTATCTAGTGCCACAATATATTTTTTAAAAAATGTGTCTCTCTCATTTTTGTTGCATGATTGATCATGCATTTTTGTCACTAGTTTGATTTCTGGTACATTTAAAATATCTTTTAAAAATCATATTGTGGTACATGATTGAAGAAATTCAAAGGAAATCATTACTATTATCACTGTGAGCGTAATGCATAAATGCAGAGCGTCTTTCTCCTTCTATCTGAGATACTCTAGAGCATTAATGCAGAAAAGTGCATCTATGCAAATCACGTAAAAGCAATGTCTTTTGGCCTTCTACCATAAACTCAATTTTCATCAGAATGATGATTAGGAAGACCAAGTGAGAAGGCACTTTATTGCACATATGGGCACTCTTTATGGATGATAAGTACGGAGTACAGAAAAAGCATTCTGCTGATGTTAATAGAATGACATACTGTGAAATAAAGCAAGGTTTTTGCATCAGTAACTGTATTGTAGTTTTTGCCAAAGTGCATCAGAAAAGCAAGAGAAATGTGGGTGAAAATGAGGAGCTGCCAGCTTCAATGACAGCCTGTACTACAAAGTTAAAACAAAACCAGGCAAATAATATTTTTGTGTTTTAGGAAGATCACCACAAAGCCAAATTAAAACAACAACAAAGCAAATGCCATACCTGTCTGTTCTGTCTGAAGGAAAAGGAGGACAAAAATAAGAAAGCATATTGTCCAAAGGTGAGTTGCCATTTTTGATCCACTGTAATAGTTAACTGTAGCTTGCCTGCATTCCTGCAGAGCTTTCAGGAAAGTCACTAAACGAGAAATGTTCAAGTTTAAAGTTCAGTAACTCTAAGGGCAATGCCTGGGTTCAGTGTCAACAAATGACAACTTAAAAAAAAATTTATTTTTTTAGTGGTACAACAATGCTCCCATTCGAGGAAAGAGGCAACCCCTTATCTTTTGGACAGATAGGGTGGAGCAGATTTGCCAGCTACCCTGAAAACTGCTGGGCAGCACCACATTTTGAACATCCATCCCATAACCCAGTCCCCACTTCGCCTGACACGAAAAGGGGAGAGCTGCTAAAAAGCTGACCGCTAGTACCATACATCAGTGCAATACAGGTACAAGTTGGAGGATAACTGGTCGGAGAAGAGTACACAGTAAGACTGGTTTAGGATTTAGCAAAAAGACTGTTCCCATAAACTGTTTACCAGGGCAATAACAGGTTAAGGAAATTCCTTACATTGCCTTTCCGAATCTCTGAAAATGTTCTCAACTCCATTGTACCCCAGTAAAACTCCATTGACTATTGGGGTTACATTGAATAACCAGGAGCAGAATTTGTTCTGTAAGGCTATATTTTCACGACACCTCCCCTCTTGCTTTCGGCTGCCAGCGGCAGTACTACGCCCTCAGACAAGATGAAGGAAGAACCCACTTTAACAGCTCTCCACTTTCTGTTTCATGCAGAGTGGGAACTGGGCCATGGGATATCTGTGTATAATCTACAGTAGCTTCTCCAACTGCTCTCAGACATACGCAAACACATGTACATATCTGTACAAACACTAGTACCATAAACAATTAGTTGGCACAAGTTAGAGCATCCCTGTGGCTACTCTTACATGTACCATGGACAAGTCTGGTCCCTGCCTGGTGAAGGATCAAGGGAAGGATCAAAGGTAGTTTAGGGCCTTTGACTCCCACCCACCTGTGCCCATTGAGCTCAGTTCATCTGAGGATTGGCTGATAGTCTGAGAAAGGTTGGCTCCCAGACTACACAGACACCTTAAAAAGAAAAGGAGGACTTGTGGCACCTTAGAGACTAACAAAAGCATGTGCATAGTCAGCATAAAAAAGGGAAACCATCAGGCTTTTGTCTGGTTAGAGTCCTACAACATTTCATAGTTCTGTGGTGTACTGCATTCCCAATTACTATCATTTGACAGACTTTTTTCTGATTCATCTAAACTGAGCTAAACTGGTGTAAATTTTCATGGTTAAAAACCCACACAATATTTGACTTTATGACAAATAAAAATGCTCAGAGTCTTCAGGGTTTGCTTTGTTCCTCTTTGCTCTCTCACAGTACTGGGTGTGGTGCGTGTAATTAGTAATACAGCGCAGCAAGTTTGGCTTGCTTAATGGATGGGTTTCAGAGTAACAGCCGTGTTAGTCTGTATTCGCAAAAAGAAAAGGAGTACTTGTGGCACCTTAGAGACTAACCAATTTATTTGAGCATAAGCTTTCGTGAGCTATAGCTCACTTCATCGGATGAAGTGAGCTGTAGCTCACGAAAGCTTATGCTCAAGTGAGCTGTAGCTCACAAAAGCTTATGCTCAAATAAATTGGTTAGTCTCTAAGGTACCACAAGTACTTGAGCTGTAGCTCACGAAAGCTTATGCTCAAATAAATTGGTTAGTCTCTAAGGTGCCACAAGTCCTCCTTTTCTTTTTGCTTAATGGAGTTAGCTTAAAAACATGTCACCACTTGATGTCACCATAGTCACAGGACTCACCGGTGAAACTAAAGAGAAATTGTAAATATGTTTTTTACAAGTTGATTCTTTCTGCACATTAAGGTCAATGAAGAATCTACTCTGGATACAAAGATAATTAGTCCAATCCAGTTAATAACAAAACAGTGTGTCAGAAGCTACATTATTTGCAGTTTTGGTTGCATGTTGGGCTTTCCTTATGTTATTGTTTGGGTTTGTTTTTTTTAAAGAAAACTCAATCTACTGAGTAGTTGTCTTATGCCTTTATTTCACTGGACATAAATCAAAATGGATCCACTCACATATAGCATTGCCTTTGCAGTAATATCAAGGCAGCAATCTGTACTTTGTATTTTCATATTATTATAGAAAATTCAAGAAAGCTTTTAAAAAAGTCACTCTTCTAGTGTCTCCCTATATGGCACTTCTTTATTCTTGACAGGTTTCAGAGTAGCAGCCTTCTTTATTCTTGTTCACTTGGATTTCTTTTTTGTAAATAACACTGTGAGCACTCAGAGAGATGGCACATTAATGTGGACCTAGAGACCCCATTATTGATACCCCCCCCTTCCAAAGGCTATTTCCCTTTTTCATTAGGGCAGAGTACCAGCTCTGCTGTTGTGAAGGTTAAGAAGTGTTTTCTCTTTAGAAGGACTCTTCTATGTGCTCTAAAATCCACAGGCTTTCTCAGATCATCTTGAAATCCGTTGTGTCTTGTGGGGATGCTGGGTGGTGATCCAAATTTGGGGTCATTTGAGCAAGGAATAGCTCAAGATACAACCCCCCTCCCAATCCAATCCCCCAAACAAATGCTCACCTTTCCCCCATTCTCCTACTGATCTCAGTCACTTGATATTTATCTCAGCTAGTGCATGGCACCCACTGTCCCTGAAAAGGTTTGGCTTGCTAGTATGGTACGTGCCAAACATTCACAAGTCAAAGAGATTGAAATGTGAACGTGCAGCAAGCCTAGGCCAGAGGGTTTGCAGACAGTCCATTGTTACAGTAACTGGATGGCTCCAAGGGACATGCTATGGTCATTGAACTTGAGCTAGACCCATGCACAGTAAATTCAAAGCCTACCATTGGCAGAAATGATCTACAGGCATGTTGCTACCATCTGCCTCTGTTAAGAGTTTTTGTTTCCTTTTGGGAAATGTGCCCTACTTATTTGCACAGCTAATTTAGAAGGGGCACTAACTGTTTTCTGAACGATAATGTATTACACACATTTTATGCAGATATGTGAGAAGGATTCCTGGGCATGGTGCTAATTTTCCACCTGGGGGATTAGTATAGCAGAGCGCCAGCCTTAATTAATCAATTAGCATTGATTAACTAGAGAGAAGAGGAAAGACAGTATGGCTAATGTAATCATGTTTCCTCAATAACAGACCTTAGTGTGCTTAAGGTCCAGGGGTTTATCCTAACTAGCCCATTAACATGATGTGCTCATAAACGGTTTAGATGTTTAGGCCATGTCTACACTAGAGATCTACAGCAGCACAACTGTACCGATCCAGTTGCACCACTGCAAGGTCTCCCCTGTAGCCACTCTATGTTGATGGGAGAGAGCTCTCCTGTCGGCATAATTAAACCACTCCCAACAAGTGGTGGTAGCTGTGTCGGCAGGAGAGCATCTCCTGCCAACATAGCACTATCTTCATTGGCACTTCTGTTGGTGTAACTTATGCTGGTCAGGGTGTGTGGTTTTTTTCACAGCCTGATCAACAAAAGTGCTAGTGTAGACATAGCCTTAAAGCTAAAGAAATAGGAGTAGAGGGCAGAGCAGTTGATGGGGGGGGGGAGAGTGGGTGTGTTTGAGAGGGATGGGGGAGAAGGGGACAGAGGAGTGAAAAGCAACTGGAGGAACGGGGTTTGGGACTGAGAGGAAGGGGGAATTTTTGGAAGGAGAGGGGATAAATATGGATGGGACTAGAGGAGAGTGGGGCGGGGAATGGAGGGGACAGGACACTGGGAGGAGGAACATGGTGATGGGTGGCAGGGGGAATCAGGGGGATTAGGAGCTGAGGAACTGTCAGCCCCACCTTCTCCCCTCCCATGTGGGAGTTCTCTCTCTGTATCCCTCCATGTAAGCCCAGATCTAGGGGCTTCTTGCCCTTCTGGAGTACATCTAAGCCCCTCTCTTCCCTCCCTCCCCCATAAGCCAGGGTCTGGGAGGGCCTGCTTCTCTGGATCCCTCTGAGCCTGTCTCCCTGTCCCCCTGTCCCCCATGTGAACTCACATCTGGGGAAGCTGAGTACAGAAACACTTGAAGCAGGCACCAGAAACAGGTTGCTGTGACAATGGTGAGGAGGTGAGAACAAGCATGCTTGGTGCATGTCACAGACTCACAAGTACTCCACTGGGGAGGGGATGACCCACTGACATGAATGGAGCAGTTCACACATTTCAGAGCTATTATTTCAGGTTGTATTCACATCCACGAGTTGTTCTCATTCAGTTGAAAACATTTCATTGAGATAACTGAGCCACTGCACTGCTCTCTGAGCCCCTTGTGCTACAGATGGATGTATAATGTCCCTTCCTCACAAACAAGGCCCAGATCTGGGGTTAGGACTTTGCACCTCTACTTTCCTGCTCCTTCCTGCCTCCAGCTAGTATGTGCGTCCTCACAGCCCCAGTATGTTCCCACCTTCCCATGGCCCTCTAAGCTTACCAAGGGTATGAAGTGGCGGGGGGAGGGGGGGGGCTGGTGTGGGTGGGTGTGGGAGAGTCTTGAAGCAATGGGCACAATTGAGGGAACTTTGGAGGAGATGGAGCAGTGGTATGTGAGTCTGAGCAGTTGTGGGTGAATATGTGGGTCAGAGCAGTGAGAGGAGTGTTGGTGCAGGGAAGAATGAGGTGGAAAGGAGGGGTCAGGGTTGTGCAGTGAGGAATGTTGGGGGAAGCTTCAGCTCTGTGCCCCCCAAGTCCCCATATACATCAATCAATCAATCAATCAATCAAAGGTACTTATAGGGATGCAATCTCTATAATATCTGAACCCCTCAGTCTTTAATGTATTTATTTTCACAACCCCCTTGTGTGACAGGGCAGTGCTATTATCCCTGTTTTACAGATGGGGAACTAAGGCACAGAGAGACTGAGGTCACACAGGAGGTCTGTCATGAAGCAGGGAATTAAATTCAGCCCATGCCTCCCAAGTTCCAGGTTCTAACCACTGGATCAGCTTTCCTCTCGTGCCCTGTGCTCTGCCATCATAGACTCATAG